GGCTCTCTCTCTCTTTCTCTCTCTTTGAGGTAGAGTCGCATGTAAGCGACTTACTTCTTTCGTCTTCTTTCGCGCTTGTGCACCGCGATTAATTAAGTGCATCGTACCGAGATACCAATGAACCCGTCTCTCTGAGAACAAATCTCTCTCTCTCTTTCTCTCTCTCTGCGAGTAGTCTCATCGTCAGTCGCAAAAAGCAGGCGGGAGGCCTACACATCGGGAGGGACGCCAACTGTGAAAAACCAGCTGAGAAAAATCCACGTAAAAAAGCACGTTGGAGATCGGTCGATTTCGGTTTTCCAAATTGCCCGTTGCGTTTGTGAGCTCGGTGATGCGGAAAGCGTCGGATAAGGGCGGCGATAACCGGCGCGGGGCGCGCTCTGCTCCCCTAGGAACGCGTTTATTCCATATGTACGAAGAGAATAGGGAGGCATGAAACGGCGAATACAAAAACGGCAAAGCAACAGAAATGGCATTCAGCCGCGGCGCAATAGCACGCGCAAACGGTTGTCACTCGTCATTACACGTCGTACTCATATTATTTTTTTTTTTGGCCGCATTTTTCTCGCGCAGTTCTTTGGCCGCCGCTATGCTAGACCCTTTGAAAAGTTCCGGCACTCTGTCAATTACTGATAAAAACGACGACAGGTTGCGCGGTACAAGCGACAGGTCAAAACTGAACTCCTCCCTCTCCGGATAGGGGGTTGCGAGAATGTAAATTATCACGTCTGGCCGGACGATAAATAACGTGCAGCTTCAGCAAGTCCAAAAATGTGGCGGTTATTTTGCCCGGTCTAGAAAAATAATGAAAAAAGAAAGGACAATGATCTCGCGAAGGGGAGGGGGGAGGGCACATTATCCGTTCTAACTGCAGAAATCCGTTGAACTCCTCCATACATCCCGTTTGTGTAAAGTGATACGATTTTTTTGCTCCGGTAGCGCGCTATGAATTTTCTGCCCTCCCCCCTGGTTTTATTGAATGCCGTTGACGTTTGAGAAATTTCTTCCTTTACACCGAAATACTTTTGAAAGTCGCCCTCGATATCTTGCGTGGGCCACCCCCCTTTGACGCACGATTCCTCCGGTTATCTCAATCGTAATGGCGGTGTATTATGACGGCGGGGTCTAACCAGATTCGTCGAGAGATATGATTACGGTAGAAACGAGTTTTTCTTCGCTTGACATGCCGATGAAATATGATCACGGCAACCGACGTTCGTACCGGGGGCGGGCGTGGGGGCGTGGGGGACGTAGGTGTACCTATACTAAGCGCCATCGTTCAGCGTGCATAATGTATCATAAAACGCGGCGGGGTTATTTTTCGGGAAAACAACGCGACGGGGTAGAGCCGGCCGTTTCTATCGCGTTTCGGTTAGGAGAAACGAGATATTTAGCCGTACATTTTCTCTATGCACATGCGGTAAACAAAATAGATGATTGCGTTCGCGACATAAATCTTTCTTTACTACATCGAGTTAAACGTGCGACAGCTTGTAATCCGTTTTACGGAGAGATGTGCGATTGTTTCGAATGTTCTCTTATATAGATTTTCCCGTGTCTCTCGTTTTAGCAGTGGTATCTCTTTATAGTAACGTCTGCAATCGACGTTTCGTCAGTTTTGTTTTTATCGAGACCGAAATACCGCGAGATTACGATATTTTTTTTTAATAAAGGGCAAACTAAAGTTAAAAGACGGAGCCTTGAAATACGCGTCTCGCAATGAGGAAGCTTAAATCTGGAATTTGGCCGTCGACGGGAATTTCTCGAAATACGATTGCCATAAGTGAGTTCATTTGAAAGTTCGTGGGACTATTTTCTGGATGTTCCCGAGGCAGCCACCGGGCTCGATGTTCTCTTTATGGCGTCGAAAAATCTATTTACCGTTTGCCTCGCTCGCTTTTGGTTGTCGTGCTGAGGTCGAGCCGTGGAGAATCCATTTTGCGGCGTGACGTAGAAAAGCGGGACGTTGACGTACCGCGCGACCGAGAGAACGATAGCGGAAGGGGAGAGAACGAGAGAACAAAGGAGGAAGGAGAGTCAGAAGAGAAGGGCGAGAAAGAGAGAGAACGAGAGAGCGGGCTGTGTTATGCATCTGTATCTGTAGATGTCTGCATATGTGTATGTGCGCGTGCATTATAAAAGGTACTGGCGCATACACTATATGAAGCGCGCTACGCTGAGCCGGAAGTGACGTGTGATTTGAAAATATTCGCCGGCTACGTCATCGCGAATTACCGAGCAGATCCCGTTGTTAACCGGGCGGCATTTTTCGCAACGTTCGCGTATAGCAAAGTCGACGCGATGCCTGCGTAACATGCCCTCGTACATGAAGACTTTTCTCCCTCTCTGTCTCTTTGACCCGAAATGCGGGAAAATCACGAGCGATCTTTCGCGAAAAGAAGGAGAAAAGAGGAAATAAATAAAAAAAAAAACGTAATCTTGATAGAGAGCCACGCTCGTGTCCTCTTAGCTCGCGAGGAAGACGCCTCCTTTCTCACCCCACGAAGACGTCACCGCACGGACAGGCGAGCCTCCGAGGAAATCTTCGCAGTCGACCCGGGCTGTTTCCTTTTCCTCGAGTTAGACGGGACGGACGGGACGTATCTGCATTAACTATGGATTTCACCCATCCCATTGCCATCGCGCGGACCGTCCTTCCCGACTTCGATCGTCTCTCTCTCTCTCTCTCTCTCTCATCTTTCCCTCCTCGCGCGAGACTTTTTCGACCCTTTTTTTTGTCGCAGTCCTTTTGCTGTCGCCGACGCGAGGAGCGGAGTGCCAATTTTCTGTGCTCCGAAGCCGACCGACCCGGGGAGACGGGACGACCGACGTTGCGCGAATTAAAAAACAAGGTGAGGGAGGTGGGACGGGGGTGAGAGCAAGACAAAAAAGCGCCCGCGGATTTCCCCTGCGTGTTACCTGAATGCGGTCGGTGGCGCACGACGGGCTATCGAGTAGAATTGCGGAAAACAAAGCTATTGAATTCAAATCGGCATCTCCGTTGGGGAAAATGATTCGTTCCGCGCTGATCCGCTGATTCCGGCTAACTCGTCACTCGTTACTAATGGAAGCGCCAGTTCCGCTACGTTTACAGGCAACGGCGCTTCGTTTTTTCTGAAAGAGAAGCGATATTTCGAGCTCGACTCCCCGTGATCGTTAACTCGATCACGGTCGAACGTTTTTACCCGGAGGGAAGAAAAACTTTTAAAAGCGTCAGTTTGCACTGACCTTTCAATTATATATACCTACTTACCGTTGCCGCGTTGATCCGGCAACAACAGCGGGGGAGCGCGTTTTACACATCGCGCTGATATGACATTATCGTTTCCCATCGCTGAAACTCGCAAAGCATTCAAATCCGGCGAGAGCTTTCCGACAGCCGAATTAGGATTACGTCGCGACGTAATTAATTGACTGAAATGCCGGGGATGTATCATCGTCATTACGGAGTCAGCGTAAAGCTCGCCGGATTACCGACTGCGGCGACAGATTACCGCGTAATGATCGCGCAGCTAGCATTGCTCCCGCGATCATACGATCCTAAATAGACGTTTATTAACGTTAGCGACGACAAGAAATGATCATGGTGTTCGTGCAGCAAAGCTACGATCGCATTTGTAATCCGCGAAACGCGGGCTCGCGAGGCGTCGCCCCGTCCGTCGAGTTTAACGTAAAAGCGGTCTTAAAGTCCGTATGCACTCCAGGTCAGGCGTCTCTCCTAGATCGAGCCTTGGTAACCGGCGACCTGGTCACTTCCGTAAAAGTCCGAGCGAATCGCACGCGAGCACGCGAGCGATCTGTATTTTCGAGACGACGAGAGAGATCGCGAGCGCTCGATAACGCCGCCCGAGTGCCGGACTTTCGACGAGCCGTTCGCGTATTTTAATCGCGAGCGAGGTGTCGGGGGCCCCGCCGGGGCGACGCTGACACGTGTTTCGCGGTACGACACGCACGCAATTCAACGGCGATGCGTGCGCTCGTCATTTAGCCGCCGAGAGAGCCGCTCCCTGGCTCGTGGCACGTGTTATTATCCGTCTCTTCGAGAGACGAGTCAGCCCCCGGAGCTCTTTCAAGCGCGACTTTAGGGAGCGGCAGTCACGCCGACGGCGTTTTCTTTCATCGTTCTCTCTTCACGTGCATTCGACACCCGCGACGTCGTTTCAGCAAGTCCGTTCTCTTTTCCCCGCGCTTCCGCGGGAGTGAGTCCTTGGGGCGCGGGTATTACATTTCGAAGGAGAGAACGTTACGCACGCTTTCATTTAGTTCGCCTTTTCTCCTATTCTTTCTCGCACACGAACCATACAACGCGAGAGAGTCTCTTTGCACTTGCGCGCGCTTGCGAGCGAAATTACTACGACCACGGCTAATTTCGCGAGACGATTGCGCGTATTTTAGAGAGAAATCGAGTCGCGCGTTCTAGTCCGTGCAAGTATCACGGCACGTGTCCGCGTGTCGCGGGAACACCAGCGCAAGGAAAAATTTAATTTTTACAAGCGTCGCGATATGCACGATAAATTTTTTTTGCACGCTTTCATCGATCGAAAGCGATAGCGGCCGACAGCGCGGCGGCGGCGTCGTAGCTAATAAGTAAACCGTAATAAATTACGGAAGATCCAGGACGTTTCGTTCGTGCGAAGGGATTATCTCGTCCCGTTTAAATAACGTGGCGTACGCTCGAGCGGACGAGCGGGCGTATCGGCGCTTTCGATCTAGTTTCGCGACGCATGCGACTCGACTCTCTTTTATACGCGCGATCGAACGCGAGATACGCGCGTGGAAAAGTGGCGCGTCCGCGCTCAGCTCTCGTAGATTTCGAGAGTCCTAGGAGTGCGCGGCATACACACACACACACATATCCGCGGCCCTCCGCGGTCATTGTCCTCCTGACCACGAAGTAGCTGTCCATCGCCGCGGCAGAAGGAAAACTGTTCGTGCCGCGATCGGACGTGAGAGTCTTACTTTTTAACACTAGCATTTGTCGTTGATCTTGTTTTACTCACCGTTATTCTGCGCGATAATCGGGTCAATCGCCAGCAACACGACGAGGAAGATAGGAGTCATATTGACCACCTTCTTTCCCGCCTTCCCTCGACCACCCGTGATCACTGCACACTTAAACACCACCGTCGCAGCGTGCCACCTATGAAAAGATAAACCACCTTCGTCATAAACATACCACCTTCATCACTGTGAGGAGGGGAAAGTGGGCGAACGAAGAAGCAGGACGACGAGAACACGTCTCCCGTCTTCCTGACGAAGACGTTGTCGCAGGTGTGGCGCCGGTAAGGGTAAATCTCCGACGATACTCCTCTCCCTCGTCGCACACACACACAGGCGCCGTGGGGAGAAGATTTTTTTTTCCGAGGGGGGGTGGAAAAAATCGGAACACGTTGAATTCTCGTGCAGTACGACGCGAATGGTTCGGCGGGCGCTGAGATTAGCGCGCGCTCGTGAAATAATTTTTCAGTAAGGAAGGAAGCGTAACCGGGGCTTGAGCTACGCGTAAAAAAATACTTGTCGCGTTTCTGGTGCGTTTATAGTGTAACTGTACAAAACGACGGAAGGACGCGAGAGTGCCTATTCAGCGACCATCGAGAAAAAGTATCGACACACGCCATTTAACACTTTCTCTCTCCTCTCTCTATTTCTTCGTCTCTCTCTCTCTCTCTCCCTCTCTCTCGCGCGCACAATAAAATATTCCGCGAATATATCGAAAATCGGTCGGTGTGGGCGGTCGACGTTAAGGAAGAAAGAAGCGCGCGTTTTCCTCTGAGCCGGTCGCTGACATCGCAATAATGGCCGCGATCGTTGTGCCACTTTGTCGCGGCACCGGCGACTCGCATACACTCCCTCACGAGCGAGAACTATTTACATTCTTTCACCGTCGCCGCTCGTATTTTCTCTCTCTCTCTTTCTCTCTCCCGGTCTAATGGAAGGATCAATTTTGGAAGGGCGTCACTTTTGGACTGGCCTCCGAAAGACCGGACGTCGTGCGACGTATTTCCCAGGAGGTAGAAAATATTTCCCCTTTATCTTCTCTCCGACGTTCCTAGAATCCTCACGTTCACGAATCCTCCTTTCTTCTTTCTGTTCTGTCGAGTCACCTCCGGTCGTCCGTCCCAGTGTCGTTTTCCTCACTCTCGACGCCGATAACGACGGCCACTAATAAGCTACACACGGCGTTCGGTAGTTCAGAGATCCGTACTACGATGGTGCGAACAATTATCTGCCGCCTTATCCGACTCTCCTCTGCCGTTCTTCTTCCTCGGTCGACTTTCAGTAATCCCACATTCTTGACTGTGGGCCCTAATCGCGTCGCGATTATCTTGACTCTTTCTTCCTGTGATTCCACGACCATCCCATATTTTTCGCGCGTCCCACGCTCCAAGCCGAGAGCCCTCACGCCAAAGCTTCCGCCGAGCTTTGCCGCGCGAGACGTTGACCCTGGACCCGGCGCTGGCCACGATTCCGGCTCGCGTTACATCCTCCGGGTAACTGGGTGCAATTGTTCTTCTCTGCTTTCCCGCAACTTCCACCGAGCGGATAGACCTCTCATTTTCCACCCGGTGCTCCTGGTCTTCGCGTTACGCCCACCTCTTCTTTTAATTTCCTTAATTGCTAAGGAAAACGTATGACGTAATTCCGCTGATGCCGAAAGTTCGAAAGGAATAACTGGATTTTTGGACGAGACTAATGATGCGCTGCGACGCCGTTCCTTTTCCCGTGGAGCAATGGCGAGCCGTTGCAAAATGCGAACGATCGCGTCCTGTTTTAGCGGGTCGAACGGAACCCAGCAGAGAGCCGGACAGAGAGAAATCTTGCGGGAGAAAGAAACGAGACGAGGGGGTTGCGATTAATAGCGGCTCGCGTGATGATATTTATACGGCAGTTTTATAGAGCCCGGTTCGTTGCACTCGCGACTATGGGCTCCCTCGAATCTTGTTTCGTGCTACCTCCCTCGCCGCACGCGACGTTACATTCTCTGCACCATCCGATCGCTGCGAGTATATTTTCCACGGGGTTTTCCGTTGCATTTGGGTGTCTCTCGTCGCACCTCTTGTCCTCAACGCAGCTCCGCCCGACGTCAACAAGAGGCTTAATCCAACTTCTCGAATTTGCGAGTGTTCCTGACCGTCCTTCCCATTCTCCTGTCGTCTGACTTTTCGGGACGCGTGAATTTTTCACAACGACAGACCTTTCGGCGGCTATGTGTACGCATCTGTGTCTGCTTTTCTACACGACGTGAAATTCTAAATAAAATGCCGTGTGTAAAATGCAGTATGCGCTTCTCGTGCAGAAGACGAATCGGTCTTCTTCAGGAAGGTCCGTCTTCCGTGGAAGTCTCACGTTTTCCGGATAACCAGGGAAGGACTCGGGCGAACGCGAGCCACGGATTCCTATCGCGTACTCGCGACTCAATTATAAATTACTCCGGCGCGAGCGTATGAGATCCCGCGTTAAGGGTAGTTTTCTGAACGCGCGCTGCGGCCTGACTGACTCACCCCCATGCCCCCCGACGACACCCCCTACCCTGCCCGTCCACCACCGACATTCCTGACGCAGGCGCGCTGCCCCTCCTGGCCTCGAGGATCGCCGTATGTACATGTACGAATTCGCGCCAGACCAGATTTTACGACGATCGGGAGATGCTCCTGGTTCTTCTTTCTCTTGGGTTTTTTCTTCCTCGCTGGAGACTGAAGTCGTGAGTTACGAGCGAGTTTACGTATTTCAAGACATCAGGACGTAAGCTACGGGAGAATCTGCTGGTCTTAAATATTTTTCAATATCCTTCGCGACGCTTCTATACGAAAAGTGTTTTTATCCCGTCTAATAGTCTTGTTGAAGTGATGATAAAAAAAAATAATTTTCTTCTGCTAAAGTGCGCGCGTCGTAAGCGACGGCTCCGAGAGAGTGTTTCTCAAAATTGATCGTAAATCAACATGGATCGTTAATGGCACTGTTACGCGAGATAGAGAGAGAGAGAGAGAGAGAGAGAGAGATAAGAGCGAGAGACGCGGGAGTGATTCGGAGAACTGGAGAACGGGGGCAAGGTAGCCGCGAGTTAGGGTAGGGGGTTGGTTTCGGCGTTGGTTTAAAAGCGACGCATGCGTCTCCGGTGTAAGGGGATGTTCGGGGTGAGCTGCCGTACTCCGGCCGACGTATCGCAGTTTCTGGCTTGATGTTTGTCCGCGTGGTACTCCCAGGGACGGCTGTGTCCGTGGCAACCCACGAGGGTGCAGCTGTATATCCGAAGGGACATCTCTCTCGCGCGCAAAGAAAGATAAGGCGAAAGCGGACAGGTGGCAGAAGGGATAGGTCGAAGAGGGAGAAAATGGGCGAGAGAAAAAGGAAAAGGGTGAGAAAGATGAAAAGAGGAAATAAGATCGAAAGGACAAGCGACAAAGGAGGAATTATTCGATACAGGACGGTGAGACCACGATCTGCCACGCTTCCGCCTTCTTGCTTCGAGAAATAGTCCGGGACTTTTCCCTTCTTTCTTTCGCGCCGACACTTGGACTCTTCGTCGTTCAGTCGCGGAACTCAAGAGACCCCTGGGAGTCTACGTGGGAGTCGGACTCGATGGGACCGATCGTTTTTTCAACAGGTAAGTGCCGTGACGCGTCTACACGTACATATAACGCGGGTGTATTCGTTCACGTGTCTTCGTACGCAACGAATCGAATTCCCGATCGGAAATCTAAAATATCACGTGAAGATTGTCGCGCAATTTCCTGAACGTAAAAGTGTAGCATGAAAGCTAAATATATTTACAATAAAAGTCATCTCCTTGTTGGTACCGCGTTGATATCAAATTTTTAAAAAACATCTAATAACCTCCCTTAAAAGATTATCAAAAACAAATCGGAGTAGTATTTAAAAATTATTGAATAAATGGTATATAAACAATGGTTTCTCGAAAGAAAATTAACGGCTACTGTAAAACCACTATGACAATAGATATTATTTTAATAGTCATTACACTAAAACCGTGAATTGTAGCCATTAATTTTATTATGAGAAACTCATTGTATTGTCCCATTTATCCGAAGGTCTCCTTTATCCGATGGAAGCAAACTTGGAAAATTGGCCGAAATTTCCGTTATCGAGCGGCGAGATAGGATGGTGCGCTAGCGATTAATTATTCGTGGTAATTGGTCAATGTTTACGACATCGCCGTGGAAGTAATTTACCTCCCTTTCATGCCTTTATTTCGCGTTTCTCCTTTTATCTTCAGCCATATCTTTAATGCCACCCCTACTCTGCCATCGTTCCCGTTCCACTTCGATCACTACCCCTATCACCCTAACTCACCTCCGCAATGGAGGCCCATTTACAAATGCGTTAGGTCAGCACGATTCTTTTACAAATACCAGTTTCGAATTCTATAAATATGATCTTTCGGCATGTTCGCAAGTTGCGCGATAACATAAGAAGTATGACAATATTCAGGAATAGCAAAAAGTATTAACAATTTATACATTTTTTAACAAACATGTAATATATAAAAAGTAAAGAGTAAATAGATAAAAGTAAAGGCTAATAGATATTAAATTAAGCGGAATCAGATCGAATATATATTTATGTGCATTTTATATTAAAATTGTAGTTTGCGTTTTAAATCTGTAAAACCTGTTAAACTGCTTTAAATAAAATTAAATAAATTTTCATCATCAGTTTCCAATGTCTAAAGTAATTTTGTAACATTTGACAGCATATAATAGAAACGTTATATTAGTCAAATCGAATGACAATACAATCTACAACAACATATGTAATAATCGTTGTTGTGGTTTAGCCGACTCGACCATTAGTGCTGGTGTCATTAGAGCCACTGCAAACGCCAAACAATTATATATTAACCGCGTAATTCGAATTTGGAGCCTCGGTATATCCGATAAATGCCCCTGTGGAAAATATTTATTACGCCACGCAATGGCGGCCATCGTTTTCTTTGCCTATACGGGAACTTTACTCATAAATCGAACGCTCTTTAAAATTGCAAATAAAGTCGGACGACAGTAAAGTGAGTGTCGAGAGCTTAATGCAGAAATATGCGTGAAAAGCGCGGGATCGCTTCGCGCGCCGGCCAATGCGCAAAGCGAGGGGAGGAGAGGCAGGATGAAAAAAATAAAAACTCGCGCCGTAGCCGGGGAGAGAGAGAGAGAGAGAGAGAGAGAGAGAGAACCGGAGGAAATGCGCTCGCCGTTCTCGGTGATAAAAAATTCCAAGATGGGCATAACTTAATTTAATACCGTGGCCAGTGCACCGTTGCCCCAATGATAAATCCCTCGGTACCCCTCGCCCCGCCTGTTCCGGCTCTTTCTGTCCATCCTAAAATCCTTTCCCCTTCACGCCCGCGCTCGTGCTCGTTCCTCTCTCGCTCCGAACAAAAGATAACAACCGGAATAAGAGTAACCGGAAAGTACGGCGGTCGAGCACGGCGGTGGGTCTTAATTCAAGGCAAGAAGACGAACGTGCGCGGAAACGACGGGGAGGATAATTCGGGGCAGGGGATGAGAAAGTAAAAATCATCGACAATCGTCGTGTCTGTTCATGATTAAGTTCTTGGCGAATACAATACGCGATCGAGATAAAATTGAAATTATTAATCCCTTGACGAAATGATCGGGAATATAAAATAATTAAGCGCTGCAATTTCTCGTGGACTTTAGCGAAAATCAAGAAACACACCATATTGAATGTATTCAAATTTAGATATTAGAAATTGCATTAGAGAAGACGACATCTTCGTTTACGCTGTTTTATTAATTATTTATCGACATATTTTCTCGCGCAGTAGAACATTCGGGCGACGAAATACAAATAATTCAACATTATCTGGTCTCTAACATTATCTGTTCTGTTCACGTTCCACGGATATAGTTGAATTATGGCACGACGAAACAATAAATTGAAAAGTAGCTGTTGACTCGTGTACGTATATTTCACCGTCTTCTTATTTTTACACATTTGCTCCTTTCGCCGGAGAATTATTTAGATAGATTGATGATATTCGCTAACGTCCGCAATTCATAATCAAGTGCGCGGTTTTCATTTGCGATCAAGTTAGTACTTAAAATGTATTTCGCTTGTTTATCCCGCGAAACGGATGCAACATCCTGATCCGCTTAACGGCGTTCATCGATTTAAAATCCGAGTTAACGCATTTCGAAAATGCAGACGAACTCGACGGATTATGAGGAATACGTGATTTCGTTCAAACTGCAATGGGGTGTTAAGTAGAATAGCCGATAATAGCGTTACCCAAGAGGCTTTAATATAATTTACGGGCAAAATTCGTCGCGCAGCGACGAACACGTGGGATTTTTCGTGTTATAACCCGTTTGTTCTCCTTCTTCTCTCCCGAGACGCTAATGTTGTCTCATTATTTGAAATTCCCCGAAGTTTTTTCCGAATGTCCGCGTCCCTTTTTGCGCTTGTTTGCGCTCGTCCGCTCAACGCAAAGCGAACGTCAACGATGCTTCTTCCTCGAATCTTTTCCCCATTAACACCGTATTAACGTCGAGACGTCTCGGCTTCTCGCAAAAAAGGAGGAACAGGAAAAAAAAAGGAACAGGAGAATGCGGACGGCGTTCTGGGAGGAGAAGCTTGCGGAACAATCGTACACCGTGCACATTCCGCTGACTTATGAATAAACATTTTCCGAAGGCACCCGGCGGAAAATTACTCCCGGAAATACCTCGACTTTCGTCTTATATCTTCTCGCGAGAGAGACTCTGCGCTCTTAGTGTACGATTCACTCCTGTTTTACTATTCGCTCCTGCAAGGCTCGATAATCGAGCCTGAGAGATTTCCGCGTATCTCAAGAGAAAACAGTTGAAGTATATTATGTCATATCTATCTTAATAAAATCCATACTTGTTTTCATACCTCTTTAGAAATTAGAAATTCTATATATGGAATAAATTTGTAGAGATATATTTAATCACACACACATACACACACAATGTAGTGTATATAAATTTTAAATTTAATAAGAAAACAATGATTCATTAAAAAAAAAATTAAAATCATAAAAATTTTAAATGAAGTAAACGACAGAAGTTTGATAATTTATGGAAAGTTGAACAAAAAATAGTAACAAGCAATCAGAAAAAAAATTGAGTAACTGTAATTGCAAAACGAATGGACTGTTAAGTATTTATCAATGGCGGTTTAATGAATCGTGAAAACTGTTTTTCACAATTTAATGCTCGTACATTGATCAGTGTTTGATAATTAGCCTGCTATTAAAGCGTTGGTAAATAGGGAGGAGATATTGCCACTTTCTGCGAGCAGTGCGAAATCGCTTCGAGTAAAACCAATACGCTAATGCGCGAATTTATATCGAATCAATACTCTCCAGCCTTTCCCTTTTAACCGGATGTGAACGTACTGCGGTTTTGTCGCAAAGGTAATATTATTCGATCTCTCTGTCTCCTCTCTCTTTCTCTCTGTGTTTAAAATAGCCTTGCAACTAAAATACTTTTAGCTACAGTTAATGTAAAAAATTAGTTAATATACGTTTCCAATGTTATTTTATTTAAATTAAACAATGCACACGTGGAGATGAAACGGATAACAATATGATTTTAATTCTTCTTCGTACGGTAATACACCTATTTATAAATGGAATTGATTTACAACGGACTTCCCCTGTTTTCCCTCGCCGCCGCAACGAAATGAAACACGATAAACGTAATGTAATGCAATAATCAATATCGAGCCTTAATAAAAATTAACTTTCTTGTGCGCAACCGCAATATAATTTACTATTTTTATTCGACCGCAGAATTAATTGACGAACAATATTTATTATATTTGTATACTTGTTTCATACTAGTGCTTATTTAAATGTATCGCTATTGCAAGAGTTGCAACACAAAAATTCTACTGCTTTTGGATAACAAAATTTGTAGCTTAAAATCTCTTTATATCGTCGCGCAATTACCTACCTACCATAATCGATTCGGACAACGTGAAAAATCACTAGGAAACGCGCAGATTCGACTTTTCCCCTTCTCTTTCTTTCTCTTCATTCGCCATAGCCTCTTTCCCTTTTCTGACTCACCCTCCTTAGCTGTTAATGGTTTCGATCACGAAAGCAGTTAAAAATCAAGACTCACTCTCCGGCACGAAACCACTTCGATTGCAAGGAAACATGTAGGAAAAAAAGAGGCTTCTCAAGATGGCAGGGGCATTATATCTTGAGGACTTTGTTTAAAATTACTCGAGGGTAGAGCTGTTTTTTTTCTCCTCGAGAGGGAGAGCAAATCCCTAAGGCTTAGTATATAATAGAATGGTATTACAAGGTGTAATAAATAGTTGTTTGTGCTGAAGTTATACCGTGCGGCATTATCACGCACAAGGGGGACAATGTGTCGTGTTTACGAAGCAATCTGCCAGAACGCCAGGTATCGATGCCGACTATAATGACGCCTTCCACGCGAGTTTTCATCGAGAGCACGGTCTCGATTGGACGTTTTTATCGCGTAGGCGTGAATCAAAGAAAAGCTGATTTGAAAGAGTGCACCGGATTCGGAAAGGGAAAGGAGGGCTCCGGAGTCTCTGCCGTAACGATCCTTCCTTTCGCGGACGGTACTT